GTGTGTACACACACACATACACTAGATAAAGGCCTGCTTTATTTAGGCATTATTTGTGCAATGGCCAGTGACCCAACGTAAAAATGAGAGGGGAAGCTGTATTTCTTGGCCTCTTCTTTCTTGGAAGGAGTCTGGATGACCTCGTCCTTCTCTGGAGGCGCTCCTCTGTGCCTCCTCGGCCCTGGAGCTGTGGGGGCTCAGCCGGGTCGGCCAGGAGCTTCTCACGGGCTTTGCTTTCAGCGTGGGTGTGCTCCAAGAGCATTCACTTGTTTGTCTGTTTTGTTTCATTTGAGAGATTTTTGCTATAGGGCACTTGTTCTCTGAGAGACAGAGACAGAAAACAAGAAATCACCCTCCCCCCACTTCCCCCAGGAGATGGCCACACCACAATCCCTTCTCCTCTATCCTCCTCTTGGGATTATGAGCACGCGCGCACATGTGCCTGGCATGAGGGTTTTTTTTTTTTCCTTCTTTTTTGAGAGGTTTTTGCTATAGGGTGCATGCGCTCACCAGAGAGAGACAGACAGACTGAAAGCGAGAAATCACCCCCCAGGGGGGATGGTCACGCCGCAATCCCTTCTCCTCCATTCTCCTCTCAAGATCTTGGGCCCGCATGCACACATGCCCGGCGTGAGTTCAAGCCACCGGGTCCGGGACTTGAACTGCGGTCGGCTACATGGGAGTCCAGCAGCACAGCCATTATGCTAACTGATGGTCCCCTGGCTTGAGTTTTAAGCTGCCAGGTTCGAGACTTGAACCGTGGTCGCCTTCATGGGAGTCCAGCGAAATAACCATTACGCCATCTGCTGGCCTTGAACCCGCTTGGTGATGAACACACTCCTTTCCCCTTCAGGTGTCGCCGATGATACACGTGGCGCTCCATCTTCTTTCTTTTCTTTTTTTTTTTTTTGAGAGATTTTTTGCTGTAGGGTGCACATGCTCACCGAGAAAATCACCCCCCGGGGGGAAGACCATACCTCACTCCCTGCTCCTCCATCCTCCTCTCAGGATTTTGGGCACGCACGCACATGGGCCCTGCGTGAGTTTCAAGCTGCTGGGTGCGGGACTCGAACCACAGTTGGCCAGGTGGGAGTCTAGTGACATAACCATTACGCCATCTGCTGGTCTCATGATCCGTCCTCTTCGATTCACGGTATCTTCTGAGCAGCCGGCAGGGTCCTTACTCTCCTCATCCAGGTCACCTTCTCCGGTCTGCGAAAGTTGTGTGTTTTCCTATGTTTTTATATGTAGAGATGCGTCATGACTTTCCCGACGACCCAGAAGCACCGGGCATGGCCCTTTGGTTGCCCATTGCCCACACGCCTGCCCTTCTGTGGGCCAAGGTGTTTTTCCCGCACCGAGCTGGGAACAGACAGCACAGGCTTGCGGGAGATCGGCCATCTTTCTTTCCTTTTTAAAATTTTTGCAATAGGGCATATAAGCTCACCAGGAAGGAGAGAGAGAGAGAGAGAAGGTGGAGATATCACCCCCGGGGGGATGGCCACACTGCAGCCCCTTCTCCTCTACTCTCCTCCTGGGATTTCGGGCACACACGGCCACACGCGTGCGTTTCAAGCCTCCGGGTCTGGAACTTGAACCGCAGTTGGTCGTGTGGGAGTCCAGCTGCCTTAACCACCCTGCCACCTGCTGGCTCCGATCAGTCTGTCTTTGATCAGCTTCCAGATCTGCTGATGGGAGTTGGCGTTGGCAGTTTTGGGGGTCTCATTGGGGTCCAGCCAGGCCTCCTTTCTGCCCCAGTGGACACTAGAGGCCAGCCCCTTTTGCAGCTGGAGTATACTCATGCCTGCGGTCAAAGGCCACTGTTCGACTTTTTTTTTTTAAAGAATTATTTCATTTTATTTGACCAGAGAAGGACAGAGAGAGAGGGCAAGTGAGAAAGCAAGCCATGAGGTCGGGGACTTGAATTGCGGTCGG